GGAAGAGGGTCACTGGATTTCAGAGTAAACCAGGAAAACAACATCATTGTGAGATGGTATGACAACAAAGCTGTGAACCTGCTCTCTTCTTTTGTTGGTGTTGAACCACTGGGCAGTGTGAAGCGTTGGGATCGAAAAGCCAAAACCCACATAATGGTTCCCAGACCGGCCATTGTTGACACAACAGGTTCATGGGAGGCATTGACCTTCTTGATATGCTTTCTGCACTGTATAAGTTCAGCTTCAGATCCCAAAGATGGTACATCTACATTTGGTGGCACACCATCACAGTGGCAGTAATCAATGCATGGATCTGCTACAGAAGAGACCTGGAGAAACTGCAGCCCAGACAGAAACACCTGCCCCTGCGAAGGTTTCAGGCCTCTGTTGCCACTGCCCTCACAAGTGCACGAAAGGTCAAAAAGTGTGGCAGACCTTTGTCCTCTCTGGAAGCAACGCCAACCCCTCCTATGAGGAGGAAAACCACTGAGTTGCCCCCTGATGTGAGAAAGGATGGCCTCAATCATTTCCCAACATGGGAAACCCGACAGAGATGCAAGCACTGTGTGGGCCACTTTGCCCATGTGTTCTGTGAGAAATGCAGAGTGCATCTTTGTCTGAACAAGGACAGAAACTGTTTCCAAGCCTATCATAATGCAAAATAAAAAGGTTGTGAGCCACAATATGTGTAGAAAATGACTGAAATGTTATGTTCTCGAGACTGCCACCCTGCCAGTTCCATTGGTGGATTTGTTATTGCTGCATTGTTGTAGCACTTTTTATGTTTGGAATTAACAATTTATCTGAGTTATTTGTTTTTTATTATGTTTTTGTTTGTTCAAGAAAAAATAATATTTGAGTATTGTGACCCGATGTATCAAATATGATACGAAATGAAACTTATATATGGAAAATGATATTTGAAAAAAAAAAAAAAATTGTTTGTTCAGAGGGACCAATAAAAGCTCCAGTTTCAAAGAATTGGAATTTTCTGTCAGTTATTTCATGGTGTGGGCTTTACAGGGTTAAAAGGAGAACAACAGATCGTCTAGCAGTTAATACTCTCAAATGATCTGCCATTATATAAGTTTTGGAATGGTTGCTTCATGATAATGTTAAAGAAGCACATAAATCTATAATTGCATCAGATAGTCAAGTTGTATTATTAAGTATAAAATCTGGCAAATCTTGCAGATTGGATTTATTGTTAAGTATATAACACTTATTAGTTCAGCTACATAATAAGAAATGTCTTGTTCGATTTGTCTGGATTCCTGCACATGTAGGTATAGAAGGAAATGAAGAAGTAGATATATTAGCTAAACAGGCCCTGAAATTGAATATTATCAACTTAAGTATTCCTTTCAGAAAAAGTGAGGATAAATCTATTTTTCAAAATAAAATCCTGAAGGTTTGGCAGGAACAATGGGATACAGTGGTAGTGACAGTGGTAGAGATTTCTATAAAATTCAAAAGACTGTGGGGGGTAATAGATGTATGAGTGGAAGGGAGAAGGAAGAAGTAATCATATCTCGACTTAGAATTGGTCATATGGGACTTAATAGTTATCTTTTTTGAATAGGGAAACATGAAACAGGGACTTCTAATTATTGTAATCAGATGGAAATTAATAAAAATCTGCTAAAAATAAATTAATTATATTTTTTAAAACCACTAGGTTGTTTAATTTTATTTAAATCATATGTGCATATGATTATATACATATATGTATTTATGTATGTGAATATGAGTGTGTATGATAATTTTTTGTGGATATCATTGATGATCACACTCCAGTCCGGTAGGTGGCGGTAAATGCACTTAAAGTTGGTTGCCATCCGAAGAAGAAAAAGAAAAGAAGAGGAAGAAGGAAAAAACAACACGTTTCAGGAATCTAACGCTCAGCAATGATGACTAAACTACCAAATATACTGTTAACAGGTAAGGTGTTGCTTACGACTTTGATGTCCCATTTCCTAATAACGTTTGTGATGTAACTACGCTGGACGTGTGTAATTTAAAATATGTTTCGTGTTAGTGTTAGCAGTACTCAACACTCAGTGGATTTTTATGTAGAAAAGTGGGAAGGAGAACATCTCCTGCAACGTTTCCTTAACAAGGCATGGTTCCAATTCATAAAGTGATTCTAAAATGTTTTAGACCAGGGGTTTAACACGGACTGAAATCCTTATTTTATCCGTAACTTATAGGAAGTGTTGGTTCAAGTCCAAAAAACATTGCTATACCATGCCTTTTACATGCAAGGTTTAGCATGACATTTTGTTTTGTGTTATTCAGTTTATTACAACAACTGATAAGAACCTCTTCGCAGGTAAGGAATTGCGTTCATGCCTAATATAAATTATGTAAACATGTGTTTTGAGACCTGTTACTAAAATGGTCTATGCTTGTTTGTAGCACATAGCAGTTTCCCTTATGCCAAGTACGTTTGAAATCTGTAAAACTAGTTCGGAGAAAGTCTGCGCTGTGATGTTTTAATGTCCCGATCTACTTCAACCGAAGTGCTGAAATCGGTTCTCATTGACGTAGGCATGTGATGAAAATTGCGCCACGTTGTTCGCAGACAGGCATCCGCCTGCTGTACTCCAGGCCCAATGTTCTAGATGAGTGGTTCTCAACCTTTTTTGGGTCAACACCCTCTTATCCACTTATTCAGGTCCCTTTTCTCCCCAATAGGCACTGAATATTATTTATTATTAATATTACTATCATTATTGTTGCTATGGTTTTTATTATTTCTCTATTTATAATCAGAAATAATAAAAAAACACATTACTGAATTATTAGTTTCCTAGCTATGTGAATAGAAATTATTTTACAGGTGTCTAAGAAAAATGCTATGGACATTCACATTAAAATAGGTACGCCTAACAACAACCAATCAATGGCCAAAAAAAAAAAAAATCAATTCAAACTATGATTATCAGCTTTTTCTTGTTCTGTGCCATTTTCTGATGTTAGTTGATAAATCTTGCACAAAATGGCCAGATAAAAAATGCACAACAATGCTAGTTTAAACTTCAAACTATTTACTAGGGATGCTCCCATCAAGTTTTCTGCTGCCGATCACCAATGAGGCTGATCTCTGCCGATCACCTGGATTGACAGTTAATTTTTTGCTTTAGGTGCTACTATGTGAAATGATCTGGCAATAAATTCACCTAAGTAAGGCATAAAACATGCAAAATACTTGCAGGCACAATGCAGCAGCTGTTCAGTCAAAAGTACAACTGAAAAACCTGCAATCAGTAAAACAATATTTAACAGTAAGGCTCTCAGTACCATAAATTATGCATGAGTCAAATAAATCTGCCTATATCAAATAATGTCAAGTAATAAAGGAAACATTCACTCAAAGTCAAACGCAGGCTGCATTCAAATAAACAATCCTTCCCAATAGCGTGGCTCGCTGATTAATGCTGGTTCTGATTGGTTGGTTCTGACCAAGCGGAGTAATTCTGCAGAACACAGGAGGATGCCAGAGATGTAATAAGTTTATAGCATGTATGTGAATGATCTAATGATCGGACAAGGCTTCTGCATGTTGGTGTTCCCACTAAAGCCTGGTTCACATGGCACAATTTTCAATTTTTTGCCACAATTTTCCCCTTACGACAGTCTTAGAATCTTAAGAGTTCTAAGATTGTCGCTTGCTGTAATTGTGTCGGGCTGCGATAGTCCGACACGTTGCGGACTATCGGACTATCGTGGGGTTTTCCCTGGTTTAGCCATATTTTGTGGTCATTGTTATATAGCGCTTTTCCAATCATTTTGACCACTCAAAGTGCTTTACACTAGAGCAGTCCTTCTCAAATCCAGTCCTCAGGTCCCCCTGCTCTGCATGTTTCAGATGTGCCTCTATTCCAGAACAGCTGATTCAAATGATTGCATGACCATCAGGTACTACAGAAGCCTGTTAATCACCAAAATATTCAATCCAGGTGTGTAGCAGAAGGGAAACGCCTAAGACATGCAGGGGGTGTGAGGACCAGAATTGAGAAACGCTGCACTAGAGTCACATTCACCCAGTCGCACTCACATTTATACACCGATACTCAGATCAGATTAAGTCCTTGCCCAAGGACACATTGACACATGGCAGGAGGAAGCTGGAATCGAACCTACAACCTTCCGATCACAAGACGACTACCCACACAGCCACAGTCGCCTCCTTGAATGGAAACATCAAAACAGCAAAAACTTGAATTAAGCAGTGATGCTAAATGGAAAAAAGAAAGAACAGAAAACCATCTAAACACAGTGTAACAAAAATGTTAACTCGCCTCTATATCATAGTGCAGCAAATAGAGCGGCTGCTCTATTTGCTGGAGTTTGTTGGAGCCTGGCTGAAAGCTGGGTTATAGGCCCTCAATACTCACGCTGCACATTATACCTTCTATGAAATGGGTACTCAAAGTGAACAAGGGTTGAAGTGTGCAGATTTAAAAAAATGCAAAAATGTCAGAATTGGGATAGTATGCCTTTGGGTCACAAGTTTGACATCCAAAATGGTGGGGCTGGTCACTGTTTAGGCATTTGTGATTCTAAAAAGTACAACTACCACGAAATATGGATTTTAAATGTACAGTAAATGTATATTTGCTTTCCAAAGTCATCGCTGGAGATATTTCACTGTTCAAATGTCTTTTGTTATGACTTGTTGGATACAAAGCACAATTCAATGTAATCACACATGTTCAGTAAAGTGAAACAAAAATATGGTGGTTTATATTTAAAAACAGATTTTTTGCAACAGATACAGCTTGCTATGTGAACATTGCCATATTTCCAATACCAACTTTTTCTCATACGATTTTGTCAAAAAATACACAATAAAATGTACTAACGTTCAATTTAACAATTCCTCCTGCTTTGATTCAACTAATTAAAGATACAATTACATATTCAGCTGTTGTTCAAAAAGAACCATGTCTGATTATAAATGGTTGACTTTAGAAAATGTTATAAGAAATTCATACTCTGCACCCGCTCCAACCTGAGAAGAAACCCTGGCTGAATCATATCATGATGATATCTCTAAAGAAAATAAGAACTAAAAACCTTACTTTTTTCTTTTCCACTCTCACAAAAAAATTGAGAAAGTCATTTCCAAGTGATGTACAAAGTTTTCCCTAGTAATGATTTTATGACAGGAATATAAATATCAACTGCAGTGGATTTTGTGACTGAGATTTTTATATAACGAACCATTTTTAAGATTTTCTAAAACATTTCTAAAAAGATTTGTTAGAAGTCTTTTTAGATGTGTCTTCTGCATGAAATCTGTCAAGTTTTGATATAATAAAATTTGGTCTAGCTGGGGATGAAGAGTCAAATTATGATATTGACAATTTAATCCTCTTTAATAAGTTTTAATTCACAAATGCCGCTTTCTAAAAATCACCTCCATTTTTAACATGTTTTCAGTTGACTAATTTTATTTAAGAAAACACTTAGATGTTGCAGCAACATAAAAGTCCAATCTTTATACCAATGTTAATTGCTTAATTTAAGACTTGAATTTCCTCTTGTATTTGTAACATTTTCTGTTTCACCTGTTTCACAGTTAAGTTTTTGTGACTATTCTTGCTTTATTTCTTTTTCTGGTTAGTTTGTTATATCAAACTGTTTTTGTTACTGATGTGTGCATTACCATACTATTTTCTTTGAATTAAAAAAAAAAAACCCACACACAAAATATGATTCAAAACATCACATGCAGAAATGAACTGTGGTTAATATACTTTGCTGAACTTCACCTGGATGGAGGCTTAGCAGAAGTGCGGAAATAGGACCCAAAAGGGGCGGGGCAAAAGACGGATATGGAGTATTGCTTCAGCAAAAATGCACATTTAAAGGAAACAAGGGTAGAACAAGAGTGAAATCGTGTGAGTATTGGGACCTAGTTGCGCTTCTCAAAGTTCACATTTACCACGTGCATCAGGTACTGCGTACGTTGGAGCCGTATTCTCATAAAATGTAAATAGCAGTGCAGGGGGACCTGCTCTGCAAGAGCACCTTTCATGAACTTTTTGTACAATGAAGTGGTCTCCTCAGTCTGTGCAGATACACAAAAATTCAGACGTGTATTACCAGGGGCTGCGACAACACGTGAGGCCAACCCGTGGGTCAGAACTTTGCATGGCACGTTCGTCTCCTTATACCCACTTCAACACCTGGTGCACATTTTTCCTACCACACTTTTTCCTTCCACTCAACCTTCTATGAATATGACTTCATTCTCTGTAAGCTATAGTCCTAAAAAAATACAATAAATAAAGTTTTAAAATATTTCAAATATTTAAATCGGCTTAAACACTTTAATTTTCTAAAATGGGTGGCTAAAAATCTAGAACTTTTTATGATGTTACAGGTTTTTCTTAGCTGTAAATGAAATTAAATGACTTTATTAGGACACTCATGGATGTCAAAAATAAATAAATTGGTCATTCCCATTCACCTACACTGACAAAGTGCATGATTTGTATTTTAATGACACTTTGTTTGCTCTGAATATAATTATGAGTGTTCAATCTAATATAGTGCAAATATTTTTGTTTCATCCACAGGAACACCCGGAGTAGGGAAGACAACTTTGGGAAAGGAGTTGGCTGCACAGACAGGGTTGACATATGTCAACATTGGTGAACTGGCACATGAAGGTAAGACCCACAACAGAGAAAGATGTCATTGGTACAAATATTATAGAGAGGGAGAGACTTTCATCCTGATGTTAATCCCCCAAATCAAAACTTTATAAGCTGTTATCTCAAATTACTCTATTTTGACCACTTTTGAAGTCATTATTTTACCTTAAATAATGCATCTATGTCTGTGTTTATATAGTCAACCAGTCAATTTGCAGTTTGGTATTCATATA